GATTACTGTTTCCTAGTAGAAAAACAGGTAGAGAAAATTGAGTTCTTATAATAAATTCCGTGACAGCAGCTTAGTTGCAAATGATTTTTTAAAAGTCGCTTGACTGTGCAAACTGGTTTGAGCAGAAATATTTTAATGATGTTTCAAGAGCTTAATGTCAACCATCAGTGTCCAATAAATGAAAGTTACTTTTAGTGATACATCTGGAAATATGATGGTTTTTTGAGCCAAAATCTCTCGAGCTTTGCATAAAATCTGGATTTTTATTTTTACTGTGTGCCTGTTATATAAACTTTTGATATTTGTTATAGACGAAAAGAAGATGAATTAGACACTACTCGGGATGTTGAAAAATGAGTAAAATGTTAAGGCATGTTAAATTTATTGTTTGCTCATGGAGAGAAAGAAAGTGAATAATTTATTTAAGGGAAACAGTTTCACTTAAAGAAAGGGCAATATTTTAATAAGCAGAAAGGGGAAAGGGAATATATTTTGAAAGAGGAGCAACTTCACTGGAATGAAAAATGTAATGTGCCAAAGTAGCTGCTTTGAAGGAGAAAACACTCAGCTGAATGGAAAATTTTGTTACACTCCTGTAAGATCCCAACTTCATCTTCATTCTTATCTGTTTATTCATTTCACTAATATTAATTGAGTACCCACTCTATGCGCTGGCATTGTAAGAGGCATTGACGATGTTTCAGTTAACAAGCACAGTTTCTTCTTTCATGACAATGACGTTTAGTGGGATTTTCATGCACTCATTATGTTAGGTAAAAGGAGCCTTAGCTCTCCGTGATGGGAAACTTGAAATAATACTGGCTTAAACAATTGCCTCATGTAAATATAGATCATCCAGACCTCAAATTTTCGCTCCATCGTCAAGAAAACCCTCGAGCCCTTTTATCTTGCTGCTCTGCCATTCCTAACCAGTGTGTGCATTTAGCTTGAGTCTGTTTTCTTTCACTTAGCATTATGTACCACAATGCATTGTGCTAAGTGAAATAATGTTTGTATTAACAGTCCATTCCTTTTCATTATTTAGTAGTATTCCCTTCCATGAATGTACTGCAATTTGTTTATCTATTCTCCAGTTGAGGGACCTTTGGGTTGTTTTCAAGATCTTAGCGATAAAATTTCTATAAATATTTGTTTACAGGTTTTTGTGTGAACATAGGTGTTCCATTTCATTTGGGTAAATATTTCGAGTGGGAATATTGGGTCAAATGGTTAAGTGTATATTGAAATTTATAAAAGCTGTAAAACTGTTTTTAGAGTGGCTATACCATTTTGCAGTTCCACTAGCCATGTATGAGAGTTCCAGTTGCTCTGCATCCTCATCAGCATTTGGTATTATCAGATTTTTTTCAGTCATTTTATTAAGTGTATGGTAGTATCTTATTGTGGTTTTAATTAGCATTTCACTAATGGCTAATGATATAGAGCATCTTTTCATGTGCCCTTTGTCATCTTTAGATCTTCTTTGATAAAGTATCTGTTCAAATCTTTTGCTCATTTAAAAAATTTGGTTGTTTGTTTTCATATTGTTGAGTTTTGAGAGTTCTTTATACATATTGGCTACAAGTCCTGTGTTAGATACACGATTTGCAAATATTTTCTCCCAGTCTATGTTTATCTTTTCATTCTCTCAACAGTGTTTGCAGAGCAAACATTTTTAATTTTGATAAAGTCCAACTTATTTACTCTTTTATGGATTTTGCTTTGTATCTTTTAGCTTCATATCTTTAAATTGGATTTTTATATGTTAAAAGCCAAATTTATAAAAAAGCAAAGAATTCCTCCTAGCGACAATAGATTATCTACAAATAGCACATTAGTTGTACCTTCTAAATGTGACATTAAACAAGAAAAAATTAGGTAATTTATGGTGGAAGAACCAAGTTAGAATTATGAAAGATGAGACAAGGATTTAATGACATTAATCTTTAAAACATAGAACTAAAGTCTTTAGATTTTGTACAATAGCAGCATGTAAATACATGAAATAAAATACTTCGTGGGAGTTTCAAATACTCATCTATTCATCCAATTATTTATTTTAAAAATTTTACTGAGCACCTACTCTGAACCAGGCACCATATTCTAGAGGCAGGTACATGGATGAATATGATGGGAGACAGAACTTTGGGTAAATAAATCAACAGATTGTAACACCATGTGTTGAGAACTATAGTTGGCGTATGTTCAAAGTAAACCTTGCTTCTTTTTGCACATGTAGTGGTTTCATCACACTTAGCTCAGTTTGCAATCATTTATTTGTGTGACTTGATTTAATGTCTGTCTCTCTCATGGTGTGCTCCAGGAACATAAATATGATATATGTTTTCTTCATTGTGGCTGGCACATAATAGGAGTTGGATTAATGGTCGTTGAATAAATAAAGTGCTTGCTATTGGAGTAGAGAGAAGAGGAGTTGCTAAGCCTGCCCCTGTCAGTTTTGAAGACTTCATAAAAAAGGTAATATTTGAAGTAAGTCTTGAAGCAAGGGGAGGAACTTGCTGTTAGGGGTGGGGGTAGGGCTGGTGACGAAGAGAAGGGCAGCATTCCAGCACTGTACACTCTTAGCCATGGACATGTGAAGTCACATAACATGTGTGGGAAGGACAAAAAGTTGCAGTGGGGCAGGATCATCCTGCCTAGGGAAGTGTCGGGGCAGGAGATGAGGCCAACGTGGAAGCCTGGGGTCAGGCTGGGAGGGAAAGGCCTTGCCAGCCAGGCTAGGTCTGAACTTCATAGCAATGGAGTTACAGGGACTGAAGGATTTTAAGCTTTTAAGGGACATGATCACTTTTGTCATTCTTAAAGAGAGATCGCAGCATGGTGGCTGACTGATTAGTAGAGCAGTTAAGGCTGTTGCTGATGCCTGGGTAAGAGATGATAAGGGTGTGGCAGCAGCAGTAGACATGTTGAGGAGGGACTGACCTGAAAGCTATTCTAGGAGACAGAATTTATGTGACTTGGTGATTGATAAGATTCGGAGGGTAAAGAAGGAGTATTTAATATTTTAGCTCTTCTGATGCCTGAAGAGTATTGTATGTTGGGAGTTAATGTATTTAAAAATTTTTTTCTTGATCAATATGTATTACATGTTCTCTAGAAAATACATAAAGCATAAAGAAGGAAACAAAAAATCATCTATAATCCCAGCACACAGAGATAAACACTGCTGAAATTCGGAGTGCATATCTTTCTATCCTTGTTTTAAAATACATTTTGGAAAAGAGATCCCAAGGGTTCTATCTCCACCCGGAACTCAGAGCCTCATGAACTGCATTAATATATTGAACTGCATTTTGAACCCAAATCATAAGTTTTAACTAAACTATGAGCTGAGGCAATTAAAAAAAAAATCAAGTGAACTAGGAACACGGATGGGAACTTCAGAAGGAGGAATTTCTTCCCTGGAGACGGGATAAGTGGCAGCGCTGACACTTATTAATAAGTACCAGACTCTAACTCTCAGAGGTAGCCTGCCCAGTCCCTGAGGGGCATTTCCAGGTTCAGTTTGATTAATTCCTGTTCAATTCATTCAACATGCTGAGCCCTGCAGGAAGACAGCACCACAAGGAGCGCCTCCCGTGTTCCAAGGTTCTAAAGGAGCGCTGATTATTTTTGCCCACTTGAACCTGGAGCTTGTGTAAACCTGTGTACATAAACGAAGTAAGAAAAAACTTGCTGAGGTTCAGGAGGTGTTAATCAAAAATATGTTGTCGGAGGCCCTTCCAAACAGAGAGAATGGGAAGGAAGTTAAAAAAAGAAAAATAATAAGGATGCTTTTATGTTGAAAGGGGGTAAGGAAGAGCAGAGGCAGGAAGACTCAGAGGGGGCTTGCCTGAAAAGAAGCTCGAAGAATAGAAAGTCCAAGGAGGAGAGAGAGGGGCCTCAAGGATGAACAAACAGAGCCACAGGGGCAGACGGTCCTCGAGCGGGTAGCCCTGCAGGTCAGGTGCGGGCGCAGGCGGGGCTGCGGAGGCGAGCTCCCGGCTCCCGGGCTCACCCGCGGAGTTCCTCCTCCAGACCTCCCCGGGGACCTTTCCTGGTCAACCCGCTCCTCGCCAGCGCCGGCGGGGCTCCGAGTGGAGGCGGGTGGGGGCGTGCTTCTCTTCCACTCTGAGGCTCCGGATTGATACAAGTCCAGGAGAGTCACACATGATTTACAATAAGGAAGAGAAAATCAATACCTCTTGAGAGGTTGGGGGGCGGGGGGCTTCACTGGGGGGAGGGTATGGTAGAGGGTGGGAGAATTATGTCCACTAAAACCCACACCGGATTCCCACTTTCTCACGGAGATCTGCCTCCCAGACTCTCTCCCCTGCTCCATCGTCTGGCCCGCAGTCTGGGTCTTCTACTGCAAACGTCCAGTGGTCCAGGTCTGCCCTGGGTTCGGAGCTCGCCCTGCTCTTCAGCTACTGTTCCTAAGTGCAGCGAGCTTCGCGCGGCCATAGGGGTGGCGGGGAGTAAGATCTGACCGGGGCCATTCCACACTGCCAGGCTTTCCATCCCTCTGCTGCTAGCCAAGGTGAGGCGAGCGGCTCAGGGGGTCGCTAGCAGGAAGGAATCGTTGCAACCTGAGCAAACACTGCTCGTTTTGAACGCTCACTGGGAACGAGCTTCAAGGGCAGGTCTCAAATCCTCCCTGTTCCGCCCGCCGGACTCGGCTGACTCACCCCGCCGGCCAGAGCGCGGGCCCAGGCGCCCCACCTAAGGCCAGGCGGTCCGCTCCAGCGGGCCAGAGTTTGCAGACTTGGCGCTCAGGCTGACTCTCCCGGAGTTGGGTCTTGCGCGCCGGGCCAATGAGCGCGCCCGGCGGAGGGCTCGGCTCCCCCCGCGCGCGCTGATTGGTCCGCGGCCCGCGAGGCCGGGCTGGCCGGCCGCGGCTGCGGGCGGTGGCGAGTGCCCGGCGCGGGTGGGAGTGGCGCGCGCGCCCCTCACCGCCCCCCGCCCCTCCCGCCGCGTCCTCTCCCTCCCTCCGCCCTCCCGGCGCTCCCTCGCTCCCTCCCCGCACTCCCCGGCTCCGGCGCGCGCTGGCGGGGCTCCGCATTGCACACTCTGGGGGCGCCGCAGTGTTCGTGGGATGGGGCAGCGGGCTGCCGCTGGCGGCCGGAATCCGCGTGCAGCCCGGGTGAGTAGAGGCGGGCTTCCCGGGAGAGCACAAAAGGAGAGCCGGTTGGTGCCAGCAGCCCGAACTGATGCGGGGGCCTGGGCCAACCGGGCAGTGGGCTGAGTCCTTGGAACTACCCAGTGTTTGGACAGCCCCCCGGGGGGAGCGGAGCTGGGGTCCTCGCCTCCGCATCCCGCTCCGGTGTTCTGCCTCCGAGTAGGCAGCCAGCACTGCGCGCAGCGTGGGCAGGTCCAGAGGGGCGTGTGTGTGCGTGTGTGTAGCGCTGGCGCTCAGGGGGTGGGATGGAAATGTCTGGAGCTGCCAAGTTCAGCGCTGGAGGAGTCTTTCCCAAGAGTAATTCAGCACCTTCCCAGGGCCAAGCGTGCGTCCACCAGGAAGTCCAGCCTGAGGGAGTTCCCGGGCGGGGAGTGGCGGCGCCCCACATGTTGCTGCGGGGCAGGCGCGGGGCGGGCGGTGGCCGTGGCCTGGCTGCGCCCACCCGGAGCCGGTGCCCCAGGTGCGGTGAGCGGGGGCGCCTCCAGCCATTGCGAGAAGGCGCCAGGCCCACTGACCACCCACCTGGGCGCCTCGGCGAGGGGGCCGTCCGTCCACCCAGCCAGGGCTTCGCCTGGGCTTGACTGGGCGACTGCTTTTCTCTCTGCTAACAGCAGTTCGGTTGATTTACATTTGGATAAACAGTCAATTTCAGCCTAAAACTCTCTATTTGTGGGTCTGACTCACTCTGACCCCCACCACAGTCTCACCATCTCTCCGCCCCTCCCCTCCCCCGCCCGCAGTATCGACCCTACTCCTCTCTGCGCGGTTCAAAACTTGGTGGTTGAACGTGATTGCATCCGGCATGGTCCCTGGCATCTTAAGTATCATAGTCATTTGCCATTTCCTAGGGGACTATAGGACTTGTTATAATTTGAGGGGGGCGGGGCCGGGGGACTTTGGTAGCAATCTACTGGTGGAATAGCACTGGCCTCCCAGAGCGTATGACAAAAAGAATGTTAAGCTTCTCTTCTCCCTCTGGTAACCTACCCAAGGTGTGACCTCCAAAATTCAGTTTTCTTTGTGGGAGGCTAGGGAGCTTAGATTCTCCAGGGGGAAGCTTATTTCTTGTTAAATTGACTTACGTGGCATACACTGTGTTCTGCTCTGCTCTGGCCAGCCATTGCAGATGCCGTGATGTTATTAGAGCAGTTCTCTTAAAGCCATTACATTTTCTGTCGAGTGAGAGGCCTCGAGGAAGCTGCTTAAAATTTTGAAGCTGCACCTTATTTCTCTAGAAGGCATTAATGGTTACTGTATATGTGCTCACGTGTATCAAGTTTGCAAAAGATATTTGTGCAATCGTCCATGAAATGGCTCAATGCACATTTATGTTAAACCCATTTAAATGTAAAGCATCTATCTGTTTTCAATTTTAGTTTCCACCTTGACCAAAGGCACCAGACTGAGACAGGACTTGAAAGAGGCTTCCTTGTTTAAACAGAGGTTTTATAGAACTCCAGTCCTGAGAGCACACAGTAAGCTTTCTGAGCTTGTAGGCACGCAAAGGCTGTTAAAAATTGTGACTTGGTTTCTCAGGGTAAAAATATCCGAAATGCTTCCAGACCAAAAAGGTAGATAAGATTCATGGGCTTATATTTTGAAGCTGTTGACAGTCTTTGTAAGATGAATGTTTATATCAACAGAATGCATAAATGGGGCTGATAACAGGCAAATAATGCCAAGTAAAAAACCATACCATATATTGCATCATGCTGTTCAGTTTACAGGGCACATTAAACTGCTGCTAAATCTGTTATTAAAGTGTCTGTGAGGAAGTCAGATTTTTATCACCCCCATTTTACAGATGGAGTAACTGAAGCTTTCAGAGATTAAGTGAGTTTTCCAAGGTGAATAACAGAGTTCAAGTTTTTTTCCCAGTTTTTCCCTCCCTTGCTCCCTCCTCCCTCCCTCCCTTCATTCCTTCTTGCTGGGCTACATTCTTTGGTGTTTTCCTACTTCTAATTTCTGCACTCTTTTTACTATCAACTCATGGCTTCAGGACCATTCTGTACCAATCCCGAAAGGCTTTGCTCTCTACCAAGTATCACTTAGCTCCCACTAAGGTGTGGGCTGATAAAGATTTAAGGAGAAAGCTAATAATGGTTTTAAGGAACTACCCTTTTCAAAGGGGTATATTATTTTTATTAATGAGTTGTTAAATGTACAAGCAATCGAAACCCTAAAGAATGAGGTCCTAATGGTAGTATTTCAGGAAAGTCAAGTGACTAATAATGGCAGAGATGTTTGAAACATCGTGAGTCTCCCACTTTATGAGCAGAAACTCCTCATAAAGTCTGTAGACAATTACAACGAAGCCCTAATAAATGATTATTTCATTAGTGCCATTCTTATTTTAAAAAGAATTGGCAAAACAGGTTACTTAAATAAACCCAGAACCACTCTGGAAAAAAAAATACCCACTTATCAAAAGTCCTGAAATCCTTGTTAGCTTGTTTACAAATGCAACAGAAGACAGTGATTAAAGAGAAATCATGTTTTTACCTGTATTGCTAGCAATAAGGAGTTTACAGGTATCTGCCTATCTGATTATTAAAAATCCATCATTTGCACATCTGTTTTTGGAAAATTATTGTTCATAGTGTTTATTTGTGACGTTGCATAATATTTATTAAGATAGAGTTAATTTTATTTGCATTAAATAGGTAGTATTGAGTTTACTAGTAATAAATCTTGGTTAAGTATGTGGGCTTTGGGTTCAAGTTCTGGCTTCACATACCCTGTGAGGCTTCAGAAAGTGATTGTACCTCTCTGTGCTTTGGTTTCCTTATGTGTGAAGCATGGGTAATAATGATACCTACCTCATGCAGTGTTTCAATTTATCCATGCAACCATATTTAGTAAGCACCTACTATGTGCCAGTACTGCTCTAGGTGCTAGGGATACATGGACAAACTCCTTGCCAGTGCAGTTTATCTAAGAGTTAATGACATGTTGCATGTAAAGTGCTTAGCATAGAACATGACCCCTAGTAAATGCCCCATGATTGTTGGCTGTTGGTATCATACATTCATTCAGAGAATGTTCACTAAGTGCCTAGCAGAAGCAATGTGGATTGGAGCATATAATGATACATATTTCAATGATACGTATTTCAGTTCAGTTAAATATTCCAGTGGGAGGGGGAACTCCAAGGAAAGACATCAAGTACACAATCAGTTCTCTAAAAGAGACTTCAGTGCAGATGTGTTACGGAAAAAAAATGGAAGGAAATACTTAAAAAATCAAATTACCCATAAGAAAGTGGGGAGTATTTCCCACTTATGGCAACTTATGATGAGAAAAAGAAAGATCTTGTATTCAAGCTCTTTGAAACACTAAATATATAGCAAAAAAATAAAGGGAAGAAAAAGAATGCTTACTTAGATACATGTAGTGGAAAAGGAATATTTGAATTTAATATTTGAATATTAAATTGAGCCCATGAAGGGTGACAGATCCCAGGCACGCTGAAAATGAGATAAAAAGTGAATATGAAAAAAATCTTTGCAATGGATTCCCAGAACAATACTGAAAGATTCTTAAATACTGTGAAATGAGAATTGTGGAAGCACTTGGCTTACCTTATACCAAATATATACTCAGAGATACAAAGAGAACATAGTGTAAATGAATTCTTTGCTTCTGCTTTTGCCATGTGTTATTCCTACACCCAGGCTTTTCAAGAAATAAACACGTTGGAGATAATACATCAGGAAATGGCCAGTGTGCAGGATATTCCAGACCTAATCAACAGACTAGATACTAAATTCCTAAGACCAGATGGCCATTACCGCAGTGTGTTGAAGAACCTTTGTCTGTAAGTGACAGCTCTCTGGGGCGTTGGCTGGCAGCCTTGGGGGGCTTCTGTCAAGGGAAGGGTTTCAGGGAGGACCCTGGAGCCATCAAACCAGATCCAGGTCCCAGTGGACAAGTGGGTGATTATTATTCAAAGCAAACACAGTTTAAAGCAGATACAATTTATTTTGTAGAAAGGGGCAATAGTATATTAGAGTTAAAGAAGGAAGTATGTGTGTGGCTACAGTGTTGTAGAAAATGTGTTATTTTTAAACTTTCAAAAAGCCTGACCAGGTTTCAAATCCCAGTTCCCTCCCTATTTATGAACGTTTTGTTTGGCCAAGGAACAAAGAGTGGAGATAAATAGATGTTTCTCTGAGTGGACAAAGAGGCTCTTTGGGCAAGTAGTTTGAGGATGGTTTTATTTAAACTTTTATAAATGTTTACAGATGGTATGCAGTTCTTACGGGTAAGTAAAAACCAAGCTGATAAAGTTGAACCACAGGAATAACTTAAAAGACAACCTAAATGGGAAGAAAAATAACAGAAGATTAAAGTCAAAATGGAAGATTAAAGATAAGTGTCCTTGGGAAAAGCAATCCCAAGCACATTTATAGGAGATGGTTTTAAATTCTCTTCTCATCAGCAGTCAACATAGCTGGATAATATTCTCTCGGTTTGGATCCCGGGTGTGGACATGGCACTGCTTGTCAAGCCATGCTGTGATAGGTGTCCCGCATATAAAGTAAAGGAAGATGGGCACGGATGTTAGCTCAGGGCCAGTTTTCCTCAGCAAAAAGAGGAGGATTGGCAGCAGTTAGCTCAGGGCTAATCTTCCTCAAAAAAAAAAGGAGTAGGACATAAAATTATGTATTAGTGTGATGCCGTTTTAAAAAAGTGTAGTTGTCAGGGCCACCCTGTGGCTGAGTGGTTAAGTTGGTGTGCTCCGCTTTTGGGCCCAGGGTTTCTCTGGTTCGAATCCTGGGCATGGATGTGGCACCGCTTGTCAGGCCGTGCTGAGGCGGCATCTCACATAGCACAACCAGAGGGACCTACAGCTAGAATATACAACTATGTACTAGGGGGATTTGGGAAGAATAAAAAAAAAAAAAAAAGAACAATATTGGCAACAGATGTTAGTTCAGGTGCCAATCTTTAAGAAAAAAATG